TCTATCAGCAATCAGCACATCAAGCTTGTGTTGACAAAATTAATCTCTGCCTAATGACAGCCCCATTAGGGATTGTTAGCCCATCCCACAGACGTTTAAATCACCTGCCACAGGCCGTCAGGCAAGAGACAGACAGACAGACAGACAACTGAGCATAATGTCGCTCAGCAAGTCTGTCGGCTGTTTCCTGCTGGTCTTGTTGGAGAGTTACGTTTGCTAAAGGGTGCTGTCCAGCTCCAGAGCGCACCAAGTCACAGCCCCCCTGGGGACTGGCTCAGCACCAGCTGTTCCTTTTCCCCCTGGGGTCCGGGGAATCAAAGCACCCTCAGTGGTGCCCGGGCAGAGACCGCTTCCACAAGCCTTCCTCGGAGCCTGCGGCCCAGCCTGCTCAGGACCCAGGTGCCTTGCCCATGGGACACCACCTTCCCCACAGCTGCTCTCCTCTGGGGCTGACAGGCCAGCTCCAGAGACCGTTTTCTCCACTTACACCTCTTACGCTTTGCTCAGCGTGTATCTGCCACAGCCGTTCAACGAATTTCCACTGTTTGGTGATCAGTGTCATTTATGCACCTTCCTGACAGAATTTTATGTAGCGTAAGCCTCTAATAGGTTAGAGAGAGAACAGGCTATGGGGTATTCTTTACCCCAGGACCACAGCAGTCTCCATGACGTCATCTGTATGTGTTCTCTATTTGTTTTTTAGGACCCTGAGTATCCTTTCCCAAGATTTTTGCTTTTGGGGAGGCATAAAGCTATGTTGAATCTTCTTTGCTCTTACAATACATTGTGAATATATACTTTTTAGCAGCTGATAGAGCAGTTTCTCTTCTTTCCCCCTTTAACAGACATCCCCTTTATTCTCATGAACTGCAAGCGCCTTCGTCCCCTTCCTTCCACATTAGACACTCTCCCACACATGTAAAACTGCAACGCCCAGAGGTGGGCTCCGCAGTTGGCTACGTACCCTGCCAGCCGTGTCCTTTTCTGCTTCCTGCCCGACACCTGTCTGAGCTCGCGCTGTCTTCCGGTCCAGCTTCCACGTGGGGGCTGGCTTCTGGGGAACTTGCAGTTGCGATGATTTCCTCCGAGGAGCCTCCAGATGTTTCCGCTCCAGTGTGTTCTTCCCTCTCTCCAGGGCCCCACAAAGGGCAATGCACACTCACCTTTTCTGCGTTTTCCCCATACACTCAGCCTGTCCTTTCCAGACTCCCTGTTTCCTTCCCCCATCCTCTAGTGGCCTCTTGCTCATTCTAGAAAGTCCATTTCTCCCTGGTGATTCTCTTTCCTCCCTCTTCAAGGCCCTTATCAAGGTCAACTTGGAGTGTCCTTGATGGCTTCTTTTTCTATTGTCTGGCTAATTGATACCAATACACGTCTCATTTTGCCAAAAGTTGCATTAAGTAGATTTCCCCCCAAAGCCATGCTGTGTTCAGAAGCAAGAGGGGTCAAGTGCTTAAAACCAGGTGTGAAGGGGCACCTGGGTGGCTCAGTTGGTTAACTGTACGACTTTAGCTCAGGTTATGATCTTGGTTTGTGAGTTCGAGCCCCGCGTCGGGCTCTGTGCTGACAGCTCAGAGCCTGGAGCCTGCTTCCAATTCTGCGTCTTCCTCTCTCTCTGTCCCTCCCCAGCTCGCACATGCTCACATGCTTGCTCTCTCTCTCTCAAAAATAAATAAACATTAAAAAATTTAAAAAAGACACGTGTGGACTTCACACTCATTAGGATGGCTATTATATTTTTTTAAAAAAGGAAAAGCAGCATTGGCGAGGATGTGGAGAAAACGGAGTCCTGGGGCACTGCTGGGAATGGCTGCTGGCGTGGTGGCTCCTCAGACAGCTGAACAAACCCCTGCCATGTGATCCAGCAATCCCACTTCTGGATATATATCCACGAGAACTGAAACCAGGGACTCCAAACACTTGCACACCCGTGTTCAGAGCAGAACTACTCACAAAAGCCCAAAGGTGGAAACACCCCAAGATGATGAACACCAGCAACAGATGAAAGGGTACAGAAGATGGGGTCTCTGCAGTGCAATATTCTTTAACCGTAAAAAGGAATGGAATTCTGACACACACGACAGTGTGGACAAACCCTGAAGACGTGTGCAAGGGAAATAAGCCACACATAAAAGGACAAACAGTGTGTGAGTCCTCTTACATGAATGAGGTGCCTAGAATAGTCAAATTCATAGTGACAGAGAGTAGAAAAGAGGTTGCCAGGGCCTGAGGAGGGCGGGATGCGGGGGGTAGAGCAGATCTCTGTTGGAGATCATGGAAAGTTCTGGAGATGGATGGTGGTGATGAACCCACAATACTGTGAATGAGCTTAACGCACACTTGAAAATGGTTAATAAGCTGGGGCGGGGGGTGGCTGGGTGGCTCAGTCAGTTAAGCGTCCGACTTCAGCTCAGGTCATAATCTCATGGTTCATGGGTTTGAGCCCTGCATCAGGCTCTGTGCTGACAGCTCAGAGCCCACTTCAGATGCCATGCCCCCTCTTCCTCTGTCCCTCCCCTGCTCATTCTTTCTCAAAAAATAAACTTAAAAAAATGGTTAATATGGTACATGTTATGTGTACCTTACTACACTTAAAAAAATAAATAAACGTTGGGGCGCCTGGGTGGCTCAGTCGGTTGAGCGTCCGACTTTGGCTCAGGTCATGATCTCACGGTTCGTGGGTTCAAGCCCCGCATCGGGCTCTGTGCTAACAGCTAGCTCAGAGCCTGGAGCCTACTACAGAGGGAGATTCTGTGTCTCCCTCTCTCTCTCACCCTCCCCTGCTCACGCTGTGTGTGTGTTTCTCTCTCTCAGAAATAAATAAAACATTAAAAATTAAAATAAATAAATGTTGAAGGTTTTATGAGTGAGAAAACGTGATTGCACAGCAGGGATGTGGGTCCTCGGGGTACCGCTCTCCTCAAGAAGCCCTGCATCATCTCTTCAATGACAACTCTGCCACCTCGGAAGCAAATGTGACATGGCTATCAGTGGCCTCCTGCCTGGAGTCACCACAGAGTCTGAAGGTGTCTCCAGGAAGCCCCTTCCTGGGATCCAGGAGCCACATTTCCATAGCACAGTCACCCCAGGAACCAGATGACCTGCCCCTCCAAACACCATCGAACAAACTTGACTTTGAATTGGCTGATGGTTTCTCCTTGGTCTTTAAGAGACTGCCCATGGGCCTTGACTCTTGAGGAGCCCTTCATTGCGGGGACATGTGGTGACTGTCACAAGTGAGGGTCTGTTTTTACAGAATTTGTCTTCCTTGCCAGAGTCGGACCCCCTGGCGTGGCAACGGTCCCGGGTGCCCGTGGTCCTTCCAGCCTCTGGCCATGGAGTTCGACGGTTGGGTTACGACTTCTTGCTCCCTAGCGCCTCCCACGTTGACTACCTGAGATCTGCACCCATTTCTTGGGGCATCTGCTTCTCTGACTCCACCTCGGCTCTTTGCTGCATGCTACACCTGCTTCTGTAGCTTCGGCCGCCTCCTGCCTCATCTGCCACTGACAGGTCAGTTCATCTCCCACCCTAGGCTCCACACGTACTTGTCCGCGCCATCCACACCTGTGTACCCGGCACCCCCAAGCTGCCCACGGCCGCCTTCCCCGGCACAACCGAAAGGAGCCCTGGTGAGCTCACACGAGCCTTCCCTTCTCCACTATCCCCTCAGAACCAGCTCCCAGCTCAGCAAAGCCCTCTCTCAGCGACAGGACGTGGGCATCATTCCGTTGGTGTTTGCATCCCAGCACCACGCCTCGAGCAGAGCAGGTACTCAGGCGCGTTTATCAGAAGAGCGAGTCTCACCGACACCCCCCTCCTCTCAGCAAATGTCTGTCCCTGGGGAGCACTCACTGTCTATGGCGCTCATTCTCACATCCGTCTCTGCCCTCATGGGGCTCTCCCCCTTTCACGGTGGTTTGCTTTCTCCTCCCTCCTCTAGCCTAGACTTCAAGGGGCGATGCCTCATCTGCAGCTGGTACTGGAGTGTGCAAGGCGGAGACACCTGGGTAACACTGGTCCACTTAGACCAATTTGCATCACGCTGGACTCCCTCCTTGGACTCCCTCCTATCGTTATGTCACTTCCTGTGCATGCTACTGCCTCCTTGGATATCAAACCCCAAAGCCCTAGCGGGGAGAATAACTGTCCCAGTAGAGGCAGGAGCCGGTGCTATCTAGCCATAACTGCAGCATGAGTTGGGTGGGGGGGTCTTGGTGATGGGAACCTTGGGGAGGGACCGTCTGCTCTGCCAGTGGAAGGCTTATTAGTCACCCGTTGCCCCCATGCAATCTGTCTTCTTTGAATCCCTGACGCTGGGGCGAGACCCTTGACCCCTGTGCCCAAGGACCATAGGACCTGAGCCTCCCGGTGTCAGACTCCTGGCAGGGTTCCAACTCTATCACTGTCAATGGATGTGAATGGTATTTCAGAGTGACATGCTCTGCCTGGCCTCCTGCAAATCTAAGTGACATCCGGAGACGAGGTGGCTTCATTCTGCCCTGGCTCTCCCAGCATGAACAGATCTACACTCAGCGGCGAAATGAACACGGCAGGAGGCGACTGGCACCTCCTTCACTTTCCCCAAAGGAACATATGACAAACACGGTGCGCGGTTCAATGCTTCACTCTCAACAGCTCCTCTGTCAAAACACCTGATGTCGCCTAACCTCGAAGCCACCGGATCAGGGGGGAGAACTCTGATCTCACCATTAAACTCTCCCGCTTATCGGCATGACAACAGAGCTAAATAGAGCTGAGACGAATGTGTGTCTATTTTTGGCAGCTCCTTACGGAATTCATGCACACTGTGTATTCGGCATCATTTGGAGCCTTGAGCACACTTGGAAGTCGGAGGCGAACGCTCATTTGTAAATGTTACAGCTGCCAAGGCTGGCCGGCTGCTCTGCTGGGTGACGTGTTAACTCTCATGGGGAAACAGAAGGATTGCTCTGAGCTGGGTCTGGGGCAGATGGTAAGGTTGGCTTGGGCATGCTCACCTTCACCCTGTCCATACAGGCTTCCATTTTCAGCTGCTCGACAGCCTTCCGGGCTTGGGAGATGCTAGTGGTGCTGTTGTTGGACATGCCTTCTTTCATCCTCTGCCCCTGAAACAAAGTCAAAGGGTTGGAAGTGCTGCTCTCCCCAGAGGTAAGACGGATTCCTCGCTCTTCCGCCTGCTCCCACCACCGCAGCGTCCCCGTCCAAGCCAGGGAGCATCTGTGAGCAAACCTTCCTAGGACGAGAGAAAGAAATGTTTCACGAGGGGAGCAAGACCTTATGCTTTCGGTTGGTGAGACTTTCCCAGCCGTGGGTAGAGGGAGCGGAAGAGACCAGATGGTCCCAGCGTCAAACCCTTGACTTTTGTGTAGTGCTGTTAGTAGTAAATCATTTTCCTACACATTTGTTCATTCATTCCTCTAGAAGCCCTGAAGGCTGGCAAAACACATAAAGTTTTGTTAAGTAAGGAAAGTGCAAAACTCAGAGAAAATAAGCCAATAGCTAAAGGTCTCACAGCCAAACTTTGTGGATCCAGAACCCAAACTCAAAGCTTCAAAACCTAGCTAAGGGTTCTTTCTATGGCTTCATACAGCCCTTTGGCATTGTACAGCTCTCAGAACAAGTTTCCCCTGGATCCAACTGCTTTATTATTAATGTTAATTTGTCCTCGTTCCAAAAATTCTACAGACTTTATGCTGGGAGTTATTTTTAAATGTTTATTTATTTTTGAGATAGCACACACACATGTGGAGAAGGGGGGCGGGGGGAGCGGGCAAGAGGATCTGAAGCAGGCTCTGCCCTGAAAGCAAAGAGCCCAATGCGGGGCTCAAACTCATGAACTGTGAGATCATGACCTGAGTTAGAGTTGGACACTTAACCATCTGAGCCACCCAGGCGCCCCTGAGAGATTGTTTTTAAACAATCACTCACACACACACACACACACACACACCCTCCCTATCCCAAGCATAGATCTATATTTCTAAAGGAAGAAAGAAATTCTCCCTGATCCGACATGTGATGCCACATGACTAAGCAATGTTTCAGTTGCCCCATCTAATGAAAGATGACTTGGCAGAGGCCTCATCATTCAGCCTCAGAGCTGCAAGGGAGTCACACAGGTAACAGTGGCACATAGTGAGGCTTGAGGTGACCCGGCCAGTATCCTGATGTACAGGCCACACTCTGTGGGTTTTCCACATATGTGCTAACTCTGTGGTCCAGGTGAGGCATGGCGGTAGCTTCATTTGTCCACAGGCTATTTTTTGAAAAATAAGTTTCTTGTTTTTTTATGTCTATTTATTTATTTTGAGAGAGACAGAGAATCCTAAGCAGGCTCCATAATGTCAGTGCAGAGCCGACTTGGACCTGAGCTGAAATCAAGAGTCAGATGCTTAGCCGACTGAGCCACTCAAGTGCCCCAAAAGTTTCTTATTACAAGATACAGATCAACCACCTAAACTAGAGTTTAGGTTCCTGTGTTAGTTGGGAGCTTCTACTTAACAAGAAGAGAAGGAGAATAATAAATAGTTGGGGCTTGGAAACCCAGGGGAGCAGGCACCTAAATCCCGCTACGTAGAGATGTGCATGCATTTCTACATGTGTGTTCAGGTCTGTGGGTGTCCCTGTGTGTGCCCACATGCCTGTGGTGCGTGCCCTGTGCCAGTCCATGTGTATGTACCTGTTCCTCTGTGGGTGTGGGTGTTCATGTGTATCTGAGTTCCTGTGTGTCCACACAAAAGGAAGAGGGGCCACAGTCTGGTTCCCAAGCCTCCCCAGCCTGATGCAAGTAAAAAAGGATCTTAAAATCATTGCTCTCAGATCCTGACCCTCCCTTCCCATTCCAGAATTCATCCTTCTCTTTCGTCTTGGGATTTTAGAAGTTGGGGGAAATCACCAAACCGGGGCTCAGGGATGGCTGAGGAGAAGGAAGCTGAGGCCAGGAGTGAAGACGGAAGACACAGGGGAAGGGTCAACCGAGGAGGAGGAGAGGGGCTCTGCATTGAGTCTGTCTGGGTGAGTGTGAGTGTGTTTAAGCGAGAGCAGGTGTGCCTGTATCAGAACTGTTACTAGCAGAACCAGAGCCTTGTCAGACGCTGGAGCAGCTTTCTCCCTCCCTTTGGCCTCTGACCGGCTGCATTTAGAATACCCCGATCCCACCCCATGACTTCCTCATTCTTCCTCTGTTTACAGAAAGGGGCACATTGTCAACTACTCCACTCTGCAACACAGGAGAACTCTGGCTGATGGCTTAATATTCAGAAAGATCCCAATGAGCTGTGTTTGGCTTCTTCTGTCTTGGAGATAAAATCGGCTGGTGGGGAGGGGGGGTCCAGAACATGAGATGCATGGACTCTTCACCCTGCCTCGTCCTGTAGCCCCTCCACCTCCCTGGGGGCCCCTCCTGTGTCTCCTCCAGACTGTGTCTGTCCACAGACCCGGTGTCACCTTCTCACCACACCCTCTGAGCCTTCCTTGCTCACCCCTTTCCTCCCTCTCAGCCTCAAAGTGCTATGTCTCTCTGTGGCTGTCTCCTAGGTGACTTCCCTAGTGTCACCCAGGGCCACAGTCAGCCTAGTGGACAACCCAACTCACGGTCGCTCTCACCCAAGACTTGTCTTTCCTTTGTACTTCCCATCATATCAATCCGACACCCTCCACACTCCACTCACCCTACAGGGCTGCAAGGTGCTGTTCTGGAAGTCTCCCATGTGCTGGGATCGGTGCCATCACACACAGTCAGCCTTAGTGGGCCCTCAAGGCTGCCCACCATCTCATGCCCATTCCCAGTTATCCCTCGTTTACCTCCCTCATTGAGGCACAAGAGGAGAAACCCCATCTCTGGCTGTCTTGACTGGGTCCTGCCATACTGGCCACTGGGGACTGACCCCAGGCAGAGTCAGGAAACACACAGGGAAGCCAGCTGGAGCCCTGAGCTGGACGTACCTTAGACAGTCTACTTTTTAAAAGACATACATATTTATTTTTGGGAGAGCATGAGCAGGGGAGGGGCAGAGAGAAGGAGACAGAGGATCGGAAGCAGGCTCTGCACTGACAGGCTGCCAGATAGCAGCAAGCCCAATGCAGGGCTCCAGCTCATGAACCGCGAGATCATGACCTGAGCCGAAGTCGTACGCTCAACTGACTGAGCCACCCAGGGGCCCCTCCTAGACTGCCCACTTCTACTCCGTGGTACTGGGAGAACATATCTTTACAGTTCAGGCCACGTCTACTGGGTCACCTGGCCCTTGTAGCTGGAAGTATGGCCTCATCCAAGGCTGATACTGCGCGTGTGGTGGGTCCATCCCTCCTCAAGCTCCGCCCTGTCACTCACCCCTCTTTCTCCTGTAATGTTGGTGTCTGTGGGTGCCCTCTCCTCGGCATATACAGATATACTGATGTCTCCTTCAACACGTTAAAACAAATAGACAACAATGAAACAGAAATCCTTTGCTCTCCCCAATTCCCACTCTTGCTCGAGAAAGAAGAGGAAATAATTAACTACAGATGCCCGTAAAATGGCCCCCCTCCACAATCAATAGTGGAGATGCAACAAATAAGGACAGGAGGCACTCTTCCTGGGACACAGGATGACAAGTCTGGTCCACTCCACCCCCTCTGCTCTCCTCGGCCCTGTCGGACCCCCTTATAGGGGTTACTCTTATTGCCATCAGTGACTGTACTGTTGCATGTCTGTATGCTCATGATCTCTCTCCAAGTGTCCAGTAAGCTTTCTCCCAGCACACGTACTCAGGACCTATACTGTGACCTCCTTCTCCCCCCCGGATCTAGACACTTGTACTTCACAACCTCCTGAGGGGATTCCGGCATGGACCACAGGGGGAGAACCATGGCTGGCTTTAAACCAACTCTGTGTTCACCAAATTATCTTTTGAGGTGTTCCATGCACCTTCAGGACTCTCTAAATCAGTCCTGTACAAAATTTAAGAGGAGTCTGGGTGGCTCAGTTCGTTCAGCATCTGACTCTTGATTTAGGATCAAGTCATGCTCTCACAGTTTGTGAGTTTGAGCCCTGGGTTGGGCTCTGTGCTGACAGCGTGGAGTCTGCTTGGGATTTTCTCTGTCTCCCTCTCTCTCTGCTCTGCCCCTCCTCCACTCATGAGTGCACACATTCTCTCTCTCTCTCAAAGTAAATAAACTTATAAAAAATTTAATCAGTGTATGAATCTCTGGGGATCTTGATAATACACAGATTTTGATGGAGTAAGTTTGGGTATGATCCAATAATCTGCACTTCTTTTTTTTTTTGGCGAGAGAGAAAAGGAGCATGAGAGGAGAGGGGCAGAGGGAGAGAGAGAATCCCAAGCAGGCCCCATGCTCAGTGGGATCACGGCCTGAGCCCAAATCAAGGGTCGGACACTCAGCAGACTGAGCCACCCTGGCACCCTCAAGAATCTGCATTTTGAACAAGCTCCCAGTTGCTGCTGATCCGTGGACCACTCTGAGTAGCTAGGCTCCGAACTGCTGAATGTCAATATTGGAACTTGGAGGTCCAGGTCCAATCCCCTTACTTTTCAAATGAGGAAACCTATTCAGGAAGGTTCAATAACTTAATTTTGTTGGGCTCCTAGTGGAAGTGGGAGGAAGCATTTTCCTAGCGTGCCTCCCAGCTTGTCCCCTCTCCTGGGCCTAGTAAGGCACCTGGGGCAGGAACAGGGTTTCTCCCTCGCCACTGGTCTCTCCTGCTCTCCCAGGACAGACTCACCCCTTGAGTGGTCCTGAACTTTGCCTAACTTGGGACTGAGACAGCAGGGGGGCTCCTCCGTGGTAGCAGGGTGACGCAGGGAGATTAGCTGGTGCTTTTGCCAACCGGAGCTAAAGGCACTGAGGCTCTTAAAGATGACCCACAGGAAGGTGTGTGAGGCTCTCCCTTCCCAACCTGGCCAGGTGACTCTTAGGTAGCCCCTGAATGACATGTCTGTCCTGCCAAGGCTATCCACACACTGGACTTGCACGTGAACTGACAGTGTCTCCCCACCTGCACCAGTGCACCCCCAACTTGGCCCAAAAAGAAAAATGGGCATAGTGACAAAGCAGAGATGGAACCAAGCTGAATGTGCACATTGGCTACTGGTAGTTGTTCACTTGACTTGGCTTTTTAGAAGACGAAGCAGAAGGGACAATGAGCCAACTGCTCGGGGCATGGGCTCTGTCACTGCCATGGTCAGACAGCCTTTTCTTCTTGGGCACACAGGAACCCACTGACACACAGGCAGGTTTCACAGGGAGATACCTACAGGCTGCGTCCTGCAGTGTGTAACTCAGAGTCAGGTGGGAGGGGACAGGCAGCACAAGGGGCACGCCGTCCGGGCCCACAGCCCACGGAGCTGCTTGGTTCTCCTCCCTTCTCCCCCAAGAGGGGACCCAACCACTCACATGGGGAATGATGTGAGGGGGAGGGCAATTTGTAAGGTTGGCTTCATAAGCGCCCTACATCTGCCACGGAAGGGGGCTGGGGAACAGGATGATGATGGTGGGTGCTAGGAGAAAGTGACACGGAGGACCTGGCCACACATGGAGGACCCTGACAGCCCAGCCTCACCCAGGCCCACATGCGCACCGCAGGCAAAGACAGCCGCTGTCCAGAGGGAACCCGTTTCTGGACAGGACACATCACTTCCTTACCTGCTGAGAGGCGGCAGTGACAGGCCCGGGCAGGCGACAGGTGGGTGGTGGCAGCAGCGGCTGATGGCTGTCAGATGGGAGGCTGATTTGGAGCTCCTGCTTTGAGGCTCACCTGGAGGCACAACCAGAGACGGATCGGCAGGTGTGGCAGAAGCCGGCTGTCCCCCAGCCGCCCAGCCCCCAGTGCCCTCTGCTCCTGCTTTGCCGGCTGTCTCTGCAGCCCGCTGAGTCTCTGTATCAGACCGCACAGGAGACGGCGAGCCACAGGCAGAAAGAGAAGCCCTGATCCCACACAGCAGAGCGGGAACACCTTGGGGCCACGGGCCGGCCTGCCTGTCACCCCAACCCCAAACGCCACCCCACTTCTGGCCATCCTCTACCAAACAGAAACAGTTTAGACATCTTTTCTTGTTATAAAAAGTGAAGCCCATTGTAGAAATGTGGGAAGAGAGAAAATTACAGCAAAGAAAATAAAAATCAGTTAATAGTGCCTTTTCCCATTCACGTTATCCCTACGCTTATTAGAAATGATCTGATTCCAACCAAATGACATTTAGCACAGAAGAGATGACTTGATCAGGTGGCTTTAAAAGTTTCTTTAATGCCAAGGACTCTGTGGAGGGACGCGAGCCTGGTGCTTGTTCCCTCCTCTGGAGAGACCGACTCTGGGATGACGGGCTCGTCCCCAGGGGTTTTGTGACCGTCCCTCGCTGCAGCATACATGTCCCAGGGATCCCAGTGAACTGCAGCTAACATAAAGGCTGGCCAGGAATGAGTGGACTTGGGGGAAGGATGTGTGAAGTTGTGCCTGGCGCATTTTCCCCAGCCCAGGGCAGAGGGTGGAATAGTTCCCACAGTGAGTTTCCCTCACCCTGTCCATCTTCCAAAGGGAGACAGACAGACAGACAGACAAAGTCTGAGAGAGGAGGCCTGCTGTCCTGCAGGGGCAGAGCGTAAAGCCTGTCCCCTCGGCAAGTGATTTTATAATTTTTTAAGTTTATTTATTTTGAAAGAGAGATAGCGAGAGAGAGAGAGCAGGGGAGGGGCAGAGAGAGAGAATCCCAAGCAGGCTCTGCACTACCAGCATAGAGCCCCACGTGGGGCTTCAACTCATGAACCATGAGATCATGACTGAGCTGAAATCAAGAGTTGGGCGCTTAACTGACTGAGCCATCCATGCGCCCGTAGGCAAGTGACTTTAAAACTGGGCTCCAGGGGTCTTCCCTGCACACCCTCTGGACAGACAGGGAACCCCGAGGCTGGGGAACAAGCCACCAGACCAACCCAAGACCCCCTCCAAGTCTTGACCTCTGCTCCAGTTATGTGATCTTTGCCTTAAAATCAGATATGCCCAGGGCAATGCGCTCTACTCTCACTGTCTTCGTCTTTAAAAGAAAAGGCAGACGGTCCTCTGAATGGGTCCACATCACAGGTCCCCACAAATGTCCTGCAATAAATGCTACAAATGGAATGAAGAAAGCTAGGACTATCTGCTTTATGAAGTAGATTAGACAACCGGGACACATCCTGTCGTAGGGGTCTAAAGGCTTTGGACAGCAAATTCTCTTTTCAAAAAAGTTTTAAGTTTATCTGAAAGAGAGGGACAGTGCAAGTGGAGGAGGGGCAGAGAGAGAGAGAGGGAGAGAGAGAATCCATGCTGCTAGCACAGAGCCTGATGTGGGGCTTGAACCCAGAAAACCATGAGATCATAATGTGAGCCGAAGCCAAGAGTTGGACAGTTAACCGACTGGGCCACCCAGGCGCTCCTCAAGTTTTTAAAATGTTTATTTTTGAGAAAGAGAGAGAAATCAAGAGTGTAGGGGAGGGATAGAGAGAGAGGGGGACAGAAGATCCAAAGTGGGCTCTGGACTGAGAGCAGAGAGCCTGCCATGGGGCTTGGACTCACGAATGGCGAGATCATGACCAGAGCTGAAGTCGGACACTTATAACAGACTGAGCCACCCCGGCTCCCCTGGGCAGCAAATTCTCTCGTTTGGCTCCATGAAAAAGGGTTCTCTGGTCATAGACGTTTGAGAAATGGCCATTACTCTACTCCCCCATTTGGAGGGCCACACCGCACACTAGCCCAGAAAAGGCTCTGAGGGGTCCTGCAGTGAAGAAACCTGTTGACTGAAACCTGCCAATCCCCAAATGACTGATTCAGGAACACCCAGGTTTTGTTTCTGTTTTGGATGCAACAATGCATCTCACACTGTTGCCGTCCCACACTGGGCTGAAGGGACCCAGCGAGTCAGCCGGCTGCCCAGAGGGCTGAGGGGACGGGTAACGGTGCCACACCTGCTGCTCCCCAGCCCACCGTGGGCAGGTCCACCTCTACCAGCAGTGCCTACACCGGCAGACTCAGAACCACTCAGGAACCCAATTCCACTCCCATGACCCTGGCGTCGGTTCCTTCCTGGGCTCTCCAGGGGATTCTGTAGCCTCAAGTCCCCAAACCACTGCCCAAGTCCATTGGTTCTGAGGCATGGCTGTGCATCTCAATCAGTGGGGCCTTTAGAGAGGAGACAGCGTGGTCACACCCCAGACCACAATGACTTTTGAGGAAATTCCAGTGTGCAAGCCACATCTGAAAAGACACAGCTCTAGTCTGCATCTAAGCTGGGGCTTGCCATACTCTTGTCACGTGATTCACGTGGATCTCAGAGGCTTACTGACAGATCCAGGTGGGTCTGGGAAGGGGACAGATACAGAATCTCAGGTCCCACCCAGACCTTTGAAATTAAATCCACATTTTCACCGGAGTGATTCATGTGTAAATTAGAGTTGGAGATGTTCTGTGTTAGGGCTGGGAGCTGTGGGGGGCGGGGGGAGTGTCACTTTATGGAGGGTCTCTGAGCCCAAGGTGAAGAGACTTTATTGAAGACACAGGAGTCAGTAGGTGGGAGGATGGCTTCTGCTCTCCTGACCCTTCTGCTGTTCACAGTCCCATCCAGCTCTCTGGGCTGCTCTTCTAGATGATTTAGTTGATTCTGGTAGTTCTTTGAGAATTGTATTTCAGGAAAAGAGTATCAATTTCTCCCTGTCCACTGGGCATTTGCCTAGCATTTTCCATCCAATGCTTGGGGATTTCTTCAGATGTCATCCCACCAAACTGCCCTGGGCCCCAGGAAGGAGCTTTAGATACCTCCCCGTATCACTACTGCTTCTCAAAGTGAGACAAATTATTGGTGCTGACAGGAATTAGCTCCTGACTGGTCTGCTTGATCTGTAAGTGAAAAACACTGCTTTTTAATGGCACTAGGGGTGCCTGGGTGGCTCAGTCGGGTAAGCATCCCACTTCGGCTCAGGTCATGATCTCACAGTTTCTGGGTCTGTACTGACAGCTCAGAGCCTGGAGCCTGCTTCAGATTCTGTGTCTCCCTCTCTCTCTGCCCCTCCCCTACTCATGCTCTGTTTCTGTCTCAATAATAAATAAACATTAAGAAATATTTAATGGCACTAAATATGCTGCCATGATGTTTTCATGGCTTTTTTCCTTCTTTAAACAGGAAAAACATACTCATCTGTGAACAAAATGCTATGGTCTCATTGTGGAGGCCTAGAAGGTTCTACCACGTGGCCACCAGCTGGCTGGGAGGCCCTCAAGGGCAGAGGGTGCTTTTACTAATGTCTGTGTGCCCACAACTATCTCAGGACAGGCCCTCTGTCCATGTTCATATAACCATGACTCGTGTCTACATGAAAGAACTATCTCAGGCTTCACAGCAATGATGTTGATTCTGCATGACTGCTGTGGTTTCAATTCTTAAATGGAGCTAATTCAGCTCCCAGTTGTGAAGTGTAATGACCTAAAGTCATGCATCTTTGCTGATGGTGTGGGTGCTGGGTCTTGAGGAACAAAAATCATAGTCTCTATTCTCACAGGGCTTACCGTCCAATGGGGTATGTCATGCACTGTTCAAACAATCATACTGATGAATCCATTCTCATACATGGAAGCACACAATTCTTAGGGGGTGTATAACCAAAGAACTTGACCTGACCTGAAGACCTATTTTGGTTTCTATGAGAGATTCTGAAGCCACAAGGAGGAATGAGACTTCCCTGCCCTCACAGAGCTCAGTGTCTGAGGGGAAAAAGGTAAATAAGTACTGGTCATAGTGTAATAGGTGTATATGGGGCTGAATCCATTCTCTCCTTTTCTTATAATAATATAATTGTGGCCAATTCTGAGGGGAGTAGGAAGATTCTGAGCTTACCTCTTCCTATGCACATACCAAGGCTGTAACTACATATAGAGCAACTCTTTCTGAGGGTGACCTGAAGACGACAGAACAGATGTTTGGCAGCTAAAGACATCAGGAGAGATAAAGGCACGAAGTCCTCCTTGAGGAGTGAGGAGCCCAAGCCCCAAACCGGGCACCCCCTGCCCTGGGGATCTGCACCTCCAAGTAGACAAGCCCCCAGTACACCTGGTCTTGAAAATCAGCAGGGCTTAACTCTGGGAGCTGATGTGCTATAGGAAACTGAGCCTCTACTGTTAAATCTCTCACATTCTGAGAACCATAACTTTGAAAAGTGTCTGGGTTATGTGTTGAGATTTTATTTTTTTATTTTTTTATTTGAAAGAAAGAGAGAGTGTGCACACAGGGGAGAAGGGCAGAAGGAGAAAGAGAGAATTCCAGTCAGGTTCCATGCTCAGCACAGAGCCTGATGTGGGGCTTGATTTCAGGACCCTGGGATCACGACCTGAGCTGAATCAAGAGTCAGACACTTAACCGACTGAGCCACTCAGGTGCCCCTGTGAAGATTTATTAATTAATTAATTTTAGGGTATGTGCCATAGGGACAGGGTTCTGTAGGAACTTTCTCTGGGAATGGAAGTGTGGGCAGGTGGCACTTTTTCTTGCCCTCCTTCAGCCTAAATGACAGCAAGAGGAAAGACAACACTTATACACAAGGGGAATCTCTGCTGATTTTCCAGCAGAAACTTTGCAGGCCAGAAAGAGTGGCATGATAGCTTCAAAGTGCTAAAGGGAAAAAATCTGCAACCAAAAATATTCTACCTGGCAAGGTTATCATTCAGAACTTGATAGGGAAAATCTGTTGTAAGATGGCCCGCAGGACTAATAGGAAACACCTGTCCCTGAT